AACCTGCTTTGGCTGTAGTCTTAGCTGTCTTTGTCTTGCTAGCTTTAGCCTTTGCTTGCTAGCTTTAGACTTTAGCTGTAGTTTTTGATAGCTTGCTTTAGCCTCCATTTAGCCTCTGCTTTAGCCCTGTTAGAATTTGTTAGCTGTGTTTATCTCTTCCTATGATTCTTTGTTGTCAGTCTACAAGTGTTTGTCTGAGTGAACTGGCTTTAACGTCTGCTAAACTGGTGCTTTTCTCCTGGGAGGAAGGACAAGTTAGACTGTGCTTGCACAGTAATTTACAGCAGTAGGTATTTTTATTGCCTAAACACACTTAGAGGCAGGTACCACTCCTAGTATGTTTTGCTAGCTTAGCATAGGGTGGCAGGTTGAGCTGTTTAGCTCTTAGCTTAAAATAGTTGATTTTGTTGATTTCTTTTCTTTGGTACTGTCTGCAGGCCCTCCTGGGTACATTGCCCAGTCAGCCAGTACAACTTTAACAACTTTTCTATAGTAACTTGTCCGTAGCTTAACTTCTTTGTGTGTTTGGTTTGTTGGTCTGTATAATAAAACTGTTAAAACTTCATCTGCATTCTACTGGTCTCTGTACCCTTCTATTGCACTCCTCCATCCTTTTGTTACTGTCCCTCCCTCCTCCTAGACCTGAGCCCATGGTTGGGACGTAACACTTTAAAAGTCAAATCTCGCGCTACGCCTGATGGGCAGTCCAGCCTATCAGCATTAAATAATCCACTGTTTCTCAGCTGTTACACTGCCACTTTAACCTCAATAATTAATCAATAAACTACGCTAGAATTGTGGACGTGCTCAGCCTGACTTCTTTCTTTCCAACAAAAATGTAACAGTACTGATCACGGGCTCCATTTACAATCACACACTGTATATTTTCTACTATACTTCTACACATTAAAATTAAGTATGCTGGCCTTGTGGTTTCGACACCACATGTTTAATCGGATTGTCCTTCATGTAAATTGAATGTGAAACAACATTTCAGAAACCCTCAGCTGTGTAACTGGCCCCACTACCAGAGTGAGGAAGCTTAAACCATATACGTACATGTTACTTACATTCATATATGGAATTTCCCATGCTCTCTACAGATGAGGACTGATACATCCAAGTTTTTGGTCCCCAACAAATAAAAGGACACATAATGAACCAATTGTTTAGCTCATTTGTATTTGCATTTTGCCAAAGGAAATGAGTATTCTTGATATTTTGAAACTGTAAAAGAAGGAAATAATAAGTATTCTTGCTCAAAATTATTTTCTTAAATATATTTTACTCGCTTAGCTCTTTACTATAACAGAAATTTTGACCAGTGTTGTCCAAACTTTTGCCATTCAGTCAAAAGAGCGTTTGTGAGGTTAGGCACTGATGTTGGATGAGAAGGTCTGACTCGCAATCAACATTCCAGTTCATCCCAAAGGCATTCAGTGGAGTTCAGGTCAGGTCTCTGTGGTCAGCCCACTGGACTTCCTACACACCAAACTTATAAAACCATGTTAGGGGGCCTTGGTCAAACTCTGAAAAACAGGCCCAGACCATTATCCCCCCTCCACCAAACTGTTGGCACTCTACATTCCAGTAGGAGGTGTTCTCCTGGTAGTAACCCTGATTCGTCCATCAGACTGCCAGACAGTGAAGCATCACTCCAGAGAACTCATTTCACTGCTCCAGAGTCCAGTGATGGCATGCTTTACACACTCCAGCCGGTGCTTAGCGTTGCACATAATGACCTTAGGCTTGTGTGCAGCTGCTCGGCTATGGAAACCCATTTCATGAAGCTCCTGTTGCATCCAGAGGCAGTTTGTAACTCTGTAGTAAGTGATGCAAGAGAAGGTGGGTGATGTTAACGCAGATCCAGCAGGGCAGGAATTTCACTAATTGACTTGTGACAAAAGTGGCATCCTGTCCTACTGAGTATGACCTATTATACTGCCAGTGTTGGCCTATATAAATTTATCTGTTAGCAAGTGGTGTGGCTGAAACACAAGAATTCCATAATTAACCTCTTCAACTCCTTGAGACCACCATTGGTTCCAAAACACACTTCGTCATATTCTTCATAACTTTCATATTTCATAAGTTACATTCAAAAGGTGGGTGTTATATGAGAGCTGTAACTGTCTTCTTTCCAGTCAAATAGATGGGTAATGTAAATTTAAACCCTTATAATAGAAGAAGCTGAACTCACAATTTTTTTTTTTTTGTCTACTGAAAGCTGACCCATTTTTCCACAAATCTGGGCTATAAACTATAAACAGATGGTGTCTCTTCAGTGATATACTAAATTATTTTTATAAAATAATACAAAGAGCGTTTAAGATTTTTGGCTTTCATCAGCAAACTGTAAGCATATAGCAGTATGCGTATGATCATAAAACACATTTTCTGTTCATTTGAGGGGAGCTTTTACAAATAAATAAATGAATAAATTAAATAAAAATGTACATTTATTTCATGCAGTTACTGAATAATTCGCCTTACGATTTGGTCATGTACATTCAGATGGAAAAACCAAAATATAACCTGGAGAATAAGATTAAGAGGGGCGTCCACATACATCCATACATACCGCATAAATGCTTGGTATTTTAAACAGTCATTTCATGTCAATTTACTCGGTTTGAAAACTTCTGTACATGTTCTCTCTCTCTTTCTCACTCTCTCTCTCTCTCTGTGTGTGTGTGTGTGTGTGTGTGTGTGTGTGTTTAAAAAAAAGAAAACGAACCTTCTACCTACCGCGGGTCACGTGATAGCTCAGCTGACTCGGCCGGTCCATAAACGAAACTGCTGAACGTTATGGTGGTGTTGTTGTGGTGGAGGCGCCCCAGGAGGACGCCGCCGCCGCTGAAGAGTCTTTTTTCCTGTAACTTTTCTGATCATTCGGTGCTTCGTGTTTGACACAGACCTGCTGTGTTTATCGCAGTACCGCTGTGGAAGGACGGGCTGTGAACTGGTGGTCAGACGGCTTCCTGTTTGAACTGCAAGCACTGCAGTTAGTGTCGCCTCAGCTCAGCTCAGCTCAGCTCATCTCTCGACCAAGGAGACTTTTTACCCAGGACCTTTTTTAAAAACTGTTCACCGCGAACTGTTACAAATATCTGGGTGTTTAGCGAGAGGGACACCCACAGTTTTCAGTTTACCGCGGCCGTAGTTGGACTGTCCACCATGCCGTCAGTGCGGCTGACCGTTCTCTCCGTGTTTACTGTCATTAGCCTTGTTTTGTGGCTGGCTGCCCCGGGGACGTCGTATCCTCTTCAGGACGAGACGGACATCGCCGACCTGAGGGCTGTGAACCCCATAAACCATTTCCAGGTTCGGTTCAGCTGGCACAACATAAGCTGTCCGTTATGTAAAGCCCTCTTCACCATCGTGGACGTTGCCCTTTTGGTAAGTAAAGCAGCCCCTCTTACGTTCCTATGTGTTCTTATGTTGCAATAAGTCAAAGTAACCTACATCAGTAAGAGCTTATCAGAGCCTGCTGTTTGACGTAGAGCTAATACTGATAAAGTTCATGTAATGGCACTGTGACACATCACTGTTATATGGTATGTGTGCCTATTATCCTTCCTGCGTAATTCTGCTGTACACAAAAATGTCTTCTAAACATGATATAGCTTGTTTTTATTGGACTGTTCTGTTGGGATAATTATGTCACATAATACTACAGAAAGGGAGTCTTAAATATGCATCTGTTAACCAGATAGAATGTGCATTTTCGTAAAGAAACGTTTTTTTCAAAAACATCTTCAGTCTGAAGAATCCAGTGAAAGACATCAAAAGTGCATTAAAGATAGCTATAAGGTCTTGCATACCACGAGAAAAGTGCATAAAATAGAAGGCAAGAAATAAGAAACATACTGCTTGGCAACAGGCACCCCTATTTATGGACAATGTCCTATCAGTGTTTTATTTATGAAATGTATCACTAAAAATATTGTTAAAACTGAAAAAAACTATGTGGAAATGATATCGTGAGGTTTTTTTTTTTATTTCTGAAATATATTGCTAAAAATATTGTTAAAACTAAAATTATGTTGTTCAGCCATGATTTGACGCGTTGGTGGAACATTTTACGGAAATAAGAGGAGGTGCTGTTCAGTTTCACAGTTTGGGCAGCTGTGAAGACACAACATCACACTTTCTCAAAGCTGTTGTGTTTTTTTTTTTTTTTGTTTTGTTTTGTACCACTTTCCCACCCCCAAGATGAAATTGGTCTTAGAGTCGTAAATACTAGAATCTGTGTAGACATTATGTTTCAACAAAAAAGTAGAAAGTGTTAATATAACATTAACCTTTTTTTGCACATGATTTCCTCCTTAGAGTGACACGAACACAGAGTATGTGGCTCGTGCAGTTGGTGAAGCCTGCATTCATTTACACTTGGCGGAGGAAAAAGTGTGTCGAGAGATTACAGAGCTCTTCCGTGATGACTTCATCCGTGCCGTGCAGGAGTCTTTTCTCTGGCCCTCAGAGGCCTGTGGTGTACTGCTGGGACCCACTTGTGGTCATTTTGACATCTATGCTCCCTGGAACATCACCCTGCCCAAGGTCCCCAAACCTCCAGTGGTTCCTCCAACACCGCCCAAGCCCGGCTCACCTCAGAGCCGAGTGCTGTTCCTCACCGATATCCACTGGGATGCAGAGTACGCAGAGGGCAGCGCTGCTGACTGTAAAGAACCTTTATGCTGCAGGAACGAGTCTGGTCGGGCTAGTTGGAGGAGGCGTGGTGCAGGGCACTGGGGGACTTACAGTAAGTGTGACCTCCCTCTGCGTACAGTAGAAAACCTTCTTCAGAAATTAACCAAGGCAGGACCGTGGGATTGGGTCTACTGGACTGGAGACATCCCTGCACACAATGTTTGGTCCCAAACAAGGGCCCAGCAGCTGAATGAGCTAACCACCATCTCCAAGCTTGTCCGCAAGTACCTCGGACCCCAGGTTACTGTGTATCCAGCCGTGGGCAACCATGAGAGCACCCCAGTTAACAGCTTCCCTCCTCCATTTGTACATGGGAACCGGTCTTCTCATTGGCTGTATGACACCATGGCAGAGGAGTGGGCTCCCTGGCTGCCAGCTGAAGCGCTGAAGACCTTGCGGTAGGCACCATATAATCACTGTGTGTTTAGTGGAGTGCAACTGTCTGACTAGAATTTGCACTGCAGTTGGTTTTCTAGCTATAAATAAAGGGGAATTCCACCAGTTTTTTCACATTTTTTAAATAATTCAGTCATGAGGTGTATTCAGAGTGATTTGATGAGATATGGTGTATGGTGGTATTGTAAAGAAACCTACTGACTCTTTGGTATCTAAAATGATCCGTGTATGTACACATGTCTCCTGTGTTTATATGTAATTTTGAAAGTAGTAAAATAGGATTAAATCAAACTAATTAATCGATTTCTTAGGGGACTAGTTTCCCTCACACTGCCCTGTATGTGACTGCACTGACTCCATGATGAATGTAATTTAAAAAAGTTTTATGCCAGAATCTTATCTCAAAACTCTCGTAAAACAGTGCCTCAATGTATCTGTAACCATTTTATGTAATTATTTTTTTGAGAGGGAGCGTTAAAGGCATTAAGGCATTAAACATCTACAGATGTCTAGTTCCTGTTACTACCATGGTGAACAATAATGACTAAGTTAACATTTCTCATCAAACTATTCTAAATGAATTAGTTTACATCTTAATCATTTAATTATGCAGACATTTTTAACTATGTAATCATTGTCTAAAGTTAGATAAGGTTTCCTTTTGTCTAATAATAACATTTTTTGGTGAATTTTTGTCAGTTATTCCTTCCTCCCTAACAGTCTTGAGTTCAATTGAAGCTTGAATCTCAAGTACAATGAAGCAGAATGATCCTGCATATGACCACTTTGAGTTTTATCTTTTATTGTTTGCCACTGCTCTAGGGTGTTTATTGCAGCTGCATTGTGGAGAAGGGAAAAAAAAAAAAGAGATGCAATTTGGTGGTCATTCGGCTTCCTGTTTGAACTGCAAGACTTGCAGTTAGCCTGACATCACAGCCTGTGAACTGTCGACTGAGGAGAATTTTCTTTTTTAATCAGAGGTGCTTTTTAGGGGTTGTTTTAGAACATTTGACTGGTGGACTGGTCAGCCCAGTTGTGTAACAAAAGGGACACTGGGAGTTTCCCTGTTGCTGCAGAGAGACTCCCAACAAGTCCAATCAATGCAGATTCAGTGGAGACCAACAGTCAGAGCATGGGAGTTCAGTTTGTAGTTAACTTTCCTTGAAGCAATACGTAACCATTGAGTGCATAAATATTCAGTTATTATAAAAGTAAATAAAATATAATATTACTATAAAATAAAATATTATTATAAAAATCACATTATTTTCCAGTGAATTGCATCAACCAATTTTGAGTTTCATTCAACCTGTTCAGAAACAAGCTCAGCATCATTAATAAAATACCCACTGATTTTTTTATTAGGCGAGGAGGCTTCTACACGGCCCAGGTGCAGCCGGGTCTGAGAGTGGTGTCCCTGAATATGAACTTCTGCGCGAGGGAGAACTTCTGGCTGATGGTGAACTCTACAGACCCAGCAGGCCAGCTGCAGTGGCTTGTACACATCCTGCAGGAGGCTGAGAATAAAGGAGAGAAGGTAGAAAACTAGATCCTGTGCATAACACTAAACATTTAGTAAACATAAACTTTGAAGAAAACTGTCTGTGAATGATCCCACACAGTTATTGGCAGCTGTCATTTAAAGATGACGTTTTGAGTAGGAAATATCTTTGGGAAGTAAGAGTGGGCACCGAGTTATATTAAGCAGAAGAGGAAGAGACTACTATGGGTCAGTTTGTTGCTCTGCAGTAGCACATAGGATCTTTTCCAAAGTTCTGTACCCTTTTCTTCATAGGTGCACATCATTGGCCACATCCCCCCTGGACTCTGTCTGAGTAGCTGGAGCTGGAACTACTATCACATAGTGAACAGGTCAGTAACAAGCTAGACTTGGCACTAAAATGACTGAATCGTGCAGTTCACTGTGTACTGCATCTCCAACCCTCTGCTATATAATAAGCACATGACTTCTGAACCTCAGACCAAGGCGTTTACTTCCTTGTTGCAGTTCTCTTTGGCAGATTGGAGACCTTTTTCACTTGAACATGTCACTTTCAGATGAACTTTCAGATGATTCATTTCTGGGATTACTGACCTTCAGTTCTGCTGCTGGGGTGGTGCATATGATTCTGTGGTTAATTATTTCCCTTTTTTTTAGTGTTTCCTGTTTTTACACCTTTTGTTATGTCATTTTTAAGAGCCACTGTGACCAAAATTAAAAATGTAGCCATCGCTACATCAGCTGTAAGACTAAGAAAACTGCTTTTTTTGAAGGTTGTGCTGTTCCAAATGTGTTTATTTATTTCTTTTTTTAAGTAAATAAACTGTAGAAACTGTTTTCATATAATTACAACTGAGAACACGGATTACTCAAACAACAGAACTGACTCAGCAGAAGAGGAGGACTACAAGCTAACGCTAGAGCTAGTATGGTTATCTAGATACCTTATCTCAGTTTTGACTCCTTATTCTGGCTAAAAAGGGTTAAAGCTTGTCTCTGGCATCCATTCTTTGCTGAACAAAGACAACATTTGTTGTTTTCTTAATTATTTTGTCAGATGACCAAGGTAAGAGGTACAGTAATGCCAGTTTGTCTGTATTTACTAGCCCATAGATCAGAGAGCAGTTTAGCTATTGGTATTGGTTAATGCAACAGGGATTCCCAGTGTTTATTTGTGTAATGCATTTTGGGAATTATGAGAACATTGGTGAATGAAAACGATATAAAATCATGAATTTTGTCAAACCAATAGGGCTGAGGGATATAACGCTGCAATACAGGACAATGCATAACACAACAAACAACAATGAACTCTAGGTTTAAGCTGTTATTCCCCCTTTTTTAAAATTTATTTATTCTTTTTCTCTATACTAGGTATGAAAGTACTATAACCGGGCAGTTTTTTGGACACACACACCTTGATGAATTTCAGATGTTTTATGATGAGGAGACGATGACTCGCCCTGTGGGTGTGGCTTACATTGCTCCAAGCGTTACCACCTACATTAACCTGAATCCAGGTATGGCTTTTGCATGATGCATGCTCTGAAAGGCCCTTCAGTTTTGTTTTGTTTTTTTTTTTAATTTATTTTTTATGTATGTGCATGTTTAGACATGCATATAAGAGAGGATTCTAATTTTTAATTTTTTTTTGTATCTCTTGCTAGGATATCGTGTGTACTATGTTGATGGTAACTACCCTGGCAGCAGTCGCCTTGTCTTGGATCACGAGACCTTCATCCTCAACCTCACTTTGGCTAATGGTTATGAGGATGTTTCAGGACGGCTTTCCAAGCCTGTTTCAGACCCAGCCTGGACACTGCTGTATCGGGCCTCTCAGGCCTATGGCTTGTCCACGCTGTTCCCCTCCAACTGGGACGCTTTGATTCGAGTCTTTCTTAATGATGATAGAGTCTTTCAGCAATTTTGGTACTTCAGACACAAAGGCCATGTGTCTGAGCCCTGCAAAGAAACATGTAAAAGCACGCTGATCTGCTTCCTACACAGTGGCCGCTATGACCTGCTGCAGCAGTGTGATCTACTGTCCCGAGCCAAAGGACAAAGAGTACGTTCTGTCAGGAAGACCCTGTGTTGATTAGACAAATTCGAGCTTGCTGAATTGAAGCAGTCCACAGCAAGTATTAAAGAGGTTACTGATGAATTGGTGATTTGTGTTTTTTAATAAGAAGAGAAACTCAGTAAGCTGGTATTTTGTGGTTTTTTGGTATGTTTGAGCATTTTTGACTTGTTAGCCAAAGATTATCTGTCTCTTTGGTATTACTGTGCACATTTGCCTAAATGCTTTAACGCTTGCCATTTAATTATTAAATGCCAGTCTGTATTGGGTTAACATACCTCAGGGTGTTATCGTAATGAATGAAACCAAGTAATTCTAATCATTGCTGTCATACATATATAGGTAGTAGGCTGATGCAAACAATGTTTGCAGAAGAATAATTTAAAAGGCAAAGTATACTTCACTTTAAAGAGAAAACCGCAAATTGAGACAGGCTGTGGAAGTTATGTAAAGGTCATGGTATGGATACTGTTCTCTCCTACACATTCATCCTGCCTCCATGGAGAGTGCCTCTTGTTTCCTCTTGGAGTGGAGTGATATGATGTGGACTGTTCATTTGCACAATCCTATTGCTTTTATGACTGTGTTCACTATATCACTAGTACTCATTTAGGCCAGACTTTTACTGTAAACAGTAGAATATTTTCACACATTGCACAATATAGAACTTCCTTTATTGCTTAGTGTTGGTCTAACCCTTTATACAGTCATGTCTATGTTCTCTGAATGTGTGAACAGATGTAGGAAAGTCCATTCCCTCTACAGTTTGTTCTGTAACAAAGCACTCAGTTGAGTGAGTGATGAAATGCTGATTTCACTGGTGTAGATTTTGAATGTTGATTGCCACTGGTGTAGATTTTGAATGTTGATTTAACTAGTGTATATTTGGAATGAATGATTAAATTAAATTTTGCCATTCAGCACTTCACTTGCCATTTTCTTGCTTGCTTTTATAGGGTTTCAATATGTTTCTTAATAAGATGAATGGATGAGTCTCCTATTGGGTAGTCGCTCCATACAAGGTCTGCAATTCCAGCAAGAAGGGTGAATGCCCTGCACATTTCTGCACACCTGAAACTGTGTTGGAGAGGATGTTGATTGGCCATAGACCTAACAGGCAAAAAATCCCATGGGTTACAGTACTGTGCAAAAATCCACCCATCAATTTCCCATCAGTACAGCCAATTAAAAAAGTTATTCATCAGGAAGAACGCAGAATACAAAAAACTACACAGAAGCCTACCAACTATATATTATATATTTTTTATTTTTAGTATTTAGTGTGTTCACCCTTTGACTTTATTACAGCTTTCATTCTTTTCGGCAGACTTGCTTCAAAAAATTCTGCAGGTATAAATTGCCACACTTCCAAAGTTCAGTTTTAGAAGTTGGTTGTATTTTCTTCTTCTCACAAAAAGTGGCCAGTCCATGGTTCCGAGACCAGCAGCTTCTTGATTGCTATACATCCTTTCAGGCTCATAGTGTTGTCTTGCCAGAGTGGAAGGATGGACAGGAAAGCATGGATGTTTTCAGAAAGAACATGTCTCTTTCCTCTCTCTCTCAAAGATGAAAACATCAAGTACTGTTTATCTGATGGTGACAGTATTGGTGGTCTACTAGGTCCCATTTTTAGAAACTTTTTTCCACTTATTTTCCATTTTCCTTTACTTATGCAAATAGATTGTTATTTTAAGTAATGACAGAAATATCGTCTGAAAAATGAATAACTTCTTAATGGCTGTTTTACTGGGAATATAATAAATGAAGGGTGGTCTTTGACTTTTGCACACTACTTGGTTGCTCTCAAACACATCCACATTTAATATGGAAAGAGGCCACAAGGGGTCAGTAGTACACAATGATATCCAGAGCATACACACTTCAGTCATAAACAAATGCAATCATCAACATTAATGTAGTACAATTTGATTATTGGAGATTTACACATTAGAAGGTTTTAAACTTTCCATATCTGAGTATGTGGTCTGTTTAGTGTAGGCCTTAAAGCCTCTGCAGTGTTTTTGAGAAGTACCAAGTCAAAGTCACCTATTTAACCATAGTTTTTGGAAATTCTTACATGAAGCAGTTCCTTCTCATCCTGCCCTCTTCAAGAAAAATGAAAATTTTCTACAGTGACATGATTGTTTATTCCAAAACATCTCGGAGTATAACAACAGAAGTAAAGTTTCTGCACACGTCCTTTATTCATCTCTCGATCCCTTATCCATAGTGGGCAGGTTTAATATTTTTTCCTTTGCAGTAGACTCGACCTTAAAAGTTCACTACTTTGTAGATACTATGCAGTGGGTAAGTGTAAGGAAAATTAACATAATTGAGGCCTATTAGGATAAAGCCCACATTTGATAATTTATATAAAACTTGAGAGCATCTTTGAAATCTGGAGGTAAGGTCTAGTAAAAATACTGGTCCTCAATAATGAGTTACACCTGGATTATGAACACTACTGCAATATTTTGTGCAACGGGAGAACACGTCTGCTATACCTGTGCTCTAGAACATGGCGTCCTTTTGATTCCCTTTGAAATTTTCCCTTTTTTAAACAAGACGTAAACAAAATTACATTATCGTGGCCTATGCATGGCTCAGAGAAAAGTCTTTACAGTAAGGAGAGGGTATGGGAATGCAGTTACAATAAGGCTATGGCTCTGGGCCCCACCATACGGTCCACATTTCTGCTCCCAGCACTCCAGAACCAAGCCATTAAAACTGTGAATACCTTTTACAAGAGAACTGCAATCTATAGGTGAGCCAAAATGTGGACCATCTGCTGAGCTTCAGGAACTGGGCTGTGGTGATTTCTACATAAGCTCTCCTCATGGGTCACTAAATGACACAGTCACTCCAAAGTCCTCCTTGTAGATGTCCCAGGTTTTGGACTTATGTGGGTTGTCCAGTTCCTCCCTTGATAGATACAGCCTGTGTTAAGATGAGAACATTAGAAAACATGAAGAAAAAACAAGTAGTTTCAGATTCTGATGACGGAAATCAGGCAGTAAACAAACGCCTCAGTAAAAACTGATTAGAGAAAAAAAAGCCTCACCTGTTGTTCTCTATAAATGAAGTGTTGAACCAGAAATAGAACGGACAGTCCTCATATCCCTTTGGAAGACCCTGGGCAGATAGAAGAGAAAAAGTTGGGCAACACAGACAGGAAAAAGGGTTAGTTAAATTAAAACCCTCCTTACATTATAATGGAATGAGATGACTTACAGCACTGGATTCAAACATGACCTTCACATCTCCACAAACCACTGGTCCCTCCTGTAAACTGATCACCACTGCATTGCTTTCAACATCTGGGAACAGCTGGTAAAATATATAATAAATGAATGTCCACTCTGAAGTGTAAAATGTAACAAAAAGGAACATATAAGACAAACATCTGAAAGACCCTTTATATCCAATACAATGTCAATTACATGTCTTTAATGGCTGTGCTTACCACACAGTTTTCCTGCTTGGCACAGACACACTGGAACACCTGCTCCTTCTTCACTATGATCCGCACCTTCAGATCACTGCCATTGCCTTTTCCCACACCTGCACAACAACAAAGCAATGCACTAATTTGCTAATTCCACAGCAGGAACCTTGAACAAGCACTACTGTTCTGTAGCTTGGAATCACTATTTTCAGTAAAATAAAACCAATTTATTTAGTTTTTTTATTTAGGTCAATCTTTTGTTGCATATCCCTCCTTTTGGATGACTTGGCTTGAATCCAGAATGCCAAGTATGTAAACAGCTACAAATTATTGCAGAATATTATTTATCAGTTAATATTTTGTTTTTCCCCCCAAACACTTCAAATACTGGTTAAAAAAACCTACAAGTCTAGTCCTGGTTGTAAATTCTAGTTTATATTTCAATCATTATACTATTCCAGCCTTTCTGTTATCATGTGATGTTACCGTGTGATAACGTGACCTACTTTACTTCATAATTCTGTGATTTTTCAGGCTAGATTTATGACACAATCAGAGCGAATACATAATTCTCCTTCAGTATCCAATCCAGCATTTTCTGTTGATATTGCACTGATACTGATAGCCAGTACTGATCGCTGCCATCTCTACATTTAAGTACATTCACTCTTAAGTGACCTTTGATATTGATATCTCCATTAAAAATGTCATATCCTGTGCCTTATACGTTTTAATGACTTAATACAGAATTTTACCATCTCTAGCCCATCAGAGCCATGACAGCACAGCTGTGGACGAATAATGTACTGAATCTTTGACACAGATTTCAGCTTGTAGTTGTACTATAGGTATGATGCTTGGAGAAAAATGCTGATTGGCTGCCACATGTCAAAACTGGCCTCCAATTACATGAATCCATTTCCAAATCTGTTACTGAGCTTTTTTTTAAAGCACACTGACCAATTTACTATAATTCTATGCAGGTCAAGGGCCCCTTGATAATCACTAATTCATTCTTAGTGAAAAGTGATGGCCAAATTTTGAACAGTCACATTATGCAGTGATATGAATAGAACTCAGTTGTGCTGTCTAGTGCTGTGTGAATACCTGTTATAGAGTGAATGCGCAAACTCTTTATTTTCAGGCTCTTCGGGGGAGGCAGCTGCCGGTCGTAATTGCTCTTCATGATCTCATAGTACCCAACGTATCTGCTCTACAATTACAGGAAGAGAACCTGTCAAACTAACTCTGTTTGTGAAAACAGTCACAGCTCACAGAAGTCAGCATGACTCACCTGAGACGGAGTTTCAACTCCTTGAAACTTTGAGCTCATGCTTTTGTCAGTGCGTCTCTCCCCAAAGTAGTCCAGGCTGTCCTGCAGAACACAGCAAGAAAAAAGGGACATTGAAGAGCAGCTCTGACACTCCGACTATACTGACTATATTTTCATCTTTATAGAAGTTCAGTACCTGTGCACTCTCAAACTGATCGCTATCAATCAGCCATGTACACACCATCGTCCCTGTACGTCCTGTCAGAAGAAAGGCAGAAAAGTTCTCAACCTGACTTGCCTCAGTCACTGCAAATATGAAACACGAAGGCTAATCATTTCAAGCTACGATTTAGATAAACATTAAAT